AGTATGGTAAAATCAATGAAGAATACAAAATGTGTAGTGCTTTCCCGTCCAAAATATATCTAACCCTTGCCAATATCGATATATTTTTTGCTATTTTATGCTGAGTTATATAAAGATTCACTCCACTACAGTTGTCAGGGAAGGGGAAATTAGCTGTAGAGACCAAAACTGTTTTTGTACCAGGCTGTAAACATGTTTATTTCTGCTGTAAAGCTGGACATTTTAACATGGGCGTCTATGGGGTGTGACTCAATTTTGGAGCCCGCCTCTAGTGGCCGTTCGATGAACTGCAGGCTTTAACACTTCAGCACTGACTTCATTTTTCAGCCTTGGAGGCTGCAGCTTGGGCAGAACCTAAAAGGTCATAGTGCACCAGGGAGAGGGAGCATTGTGCCGAGCAGCGTACGTTGATTTGCTAGGGCTACCTTAAGTTACATACTGTAGCTTTAGGTGTCATAAAACATAAATTGATCGGCTTTGCCTGCAGCTAATGATTTGTTTCACTACTGGTTCATTTGTCCAACATCTGATCAGTATATCAATCACAATGTCAAAGTAGTTAAACTAGCTGACATTTGAAATTTGATTTGTTCCACCATTAATCCAAACCTGAAGAAATTCAGTTTAAATGACAAAAGGCCAGAAAATGTTCACAAGCAATCAATTATCAATACAAGTCATTTCTGTTGATCGATTTATAGTTTCATAGTCAATATTCATTAAAACATTTAAAAGCTCCTTATCAGACATGTTTCTACAAACAAATTGATCATTATTGTTGTTTTGGTGCAATGTGACAAAAAAGCTTGAACATTAACAAACAACAGAAACAGGACAAAACAACACACAGGTACCATGTGTGGGACAAACACTCATCCCTGCCTCCATGTGCAGAAGCACTTGTATGTGTGAGTGTGTAAGAGGAGGACGGCCAGGCAGCCTCAGGTCGCACCTCAGCATCAGACGATGATGATAACCAAGTGAAAATGGCGAAATCAAAAAATGTTAACTTTTCGAATAATATTGAAAGCGAGGCTTGAATACAAAGAAGAACGACGCCGGCTGTGTCTGAAACCATTCACTCATTTACTGACACTCAGTGATCAGCAGTAAATTCAGCTCTCAGTCACACCCACTGATCTTCATCATGAATGTAGATCAGTGAATTGTGGGATTGTTCTTAAACAGTAGAGGACATCTCGGACTCTCCTTTTTGTTCCACAGTGTGATGTCATACAGAATTCAGTCCATGGCCACAAGAGAGAGATATAAAGTACAGCATCTGTCAAAACCGTTGACAAAACCTTTGATTGTTTTATTGACATTTGTTGATACAAATAAGCATCAATAAATTTCTCGGTGTGAGTTATTTCTGCCCCTTGTGCCACGTTCGTTACAAGGACAAACGATACCAGTCCTGTAAAGATGCTGCGAGTCACTGTGTCCTCTCGGTCAGCTAATGTACTGTAAAGATTGTAACAGAACCTGTCGGTTTAAAACACAAATGGGGGAAATTCTACAGGGATGTTAATAAATATGCCAGTAGATGTGATCAAAGCAAGAAATGTAAAGAATGCAAGCTTGTCTACCAAGTAGCTTTACAAGATCCCAAGAGCAAAGTCGTGTAATATTTGCAACAAAAAGAAAGCTGCCGATGCTTTATCCAGCGTCTTGAACCTGATGAAGAACACTCTGATCGCGTTGTCGTTTATGATTCTGAAACATGTGAATGAACCACACTGACTAATGAAGGTGAACCCTGGTCTGCATGGGGGACAGACTGCGCATTAAATATGCTCAGACATTTTAGCTGGAATATAATGAATACACATTCATAGCTCATAATGCTCGTGGATTCGACACCTTCCTCCTCCTCCGCCTGCTTCTGAACTATTTGTGACACCGAACCTTATTATGCAATAATCTAAAATCATTTCTATGGAAGAGTTGCTTTTTCCCAGAGTTACATCGACTCCCTCTCTTTTCTTCCCGTGAAACTTGCCCAAATGCCAAAACCTGTGGTGTTTGAAGATGCTGTCAAAGGCTTTTTTTCCACACGGATTTAGTTCTTAGGAAAATCTAGGTTATGTAGGCCCATCTCCACCTGCCGAAGCCTACGGGCCTGATCAGGTGTCACATGGTGAGAGAGAGGCGCTGATGAAATGGTATGATGAACACTGTCACAAGATTTTCCATTTTCAGAGAATCAGCAATCCTGTATTGTGACAATGATGTAAAAATACTCCACCAAGCGTGCACAATGTTTCATGAAAATTTCACTGAAGACACAGACTGTGACCCGTACAGTACGCTAACCTTTGCGGCTGCAGACCTCAAAGTGTGCAGGACAAATTTCCTTACGTCAAACACTATTGCCATTCCCTGCATGTTCAATTATGCTTTTCCACAGCATCTATACAATGGCTAGAATATCTGGCACAAAAGCATTACATCCATATTGAGCACACGTTGGAAGGTGGTGAAATAAAAATAGGAGATTATCACCTGGATGGATACGCCGTCATTGATGGAGTGGAGCACGTGTTCAAGTATAATGGCTGTTTCTATCATGGGTGTATCAAATGTTACAACACCGAAGAAATCTGCCCAGTCACAGATCAGCCTTTTGGATGTAAATATGATAAATCTACGGAGAAAACTGCAAAACTGTCTAGACATTACAAAGTGACAGTCACGTGAGAGCACAAGTGGCTGGCTATGTGTAAAGCCAGAGGCATTTCTGTAGATTTACCGCAACCACTCAACCCCAGAGACGCTCTGTTTTGGGGTTGCACATCTACAATCAAACTGCGCCACACAGCGCCTGATGATGAAACAGCCTCATACGTTGATGTGAACTCTCTATACCTCTATGTGATGTCGGCGTCCCATTGTTACTACTACCCCTTTCTCAAAAATAAAATGGAAGCGTCCGGTTATCCTCATGATGTTGTGATAGATGAGCCAAAGCAGCAGTATGTGACCCATGTTCATTTCAAATGAGGAATTGATTCGAATCATGCCAATATCGACCATAATCCAGCCAAAAGAACACTGGCAAAACTCTTTGTGCGGGAAAATCATGTTCTCCGAGCTGTATGAGGTGTCATACTTTGGGTTTCTGAACGATGAGGTTGCAGTTGTACGGGGGTGATGGAATAAAAAGTATGTGACACCTCCAGGAAACGTAAATGTGTTTGTTGTAGCTTACATCACAGGCTACGGCCGCCACAAACTGTACAAATACCATTGGGGCGCTCCACCGGTTCGGG